AAATTAATTTCTAAAATTGAAATTTCTACATGAAGTTATAAAGTATTAAAAATTTGAAAAAAAAAACCCGTTATTAAAAATAAATAGTTTGAAACTGTGCCTATAGTAGAGATTTCAAAATGAGATATGAAATTAGTATAACCAGTTTGAGAGAGTCCTACTCAGCTAACCTGTCACCTATCAGTAGGCTGTTCTTGGTCCTACAAGGAAACTGAGGTAAGGGATAAAACCTGGTCTCTGCTCTGTTTAAATCTCAAAATGAGACATAAGAAGCAACACTGCTTACTTTTGAATCATCTCCATGAATATAAATATCTTTAAAAAAAAAATTTATAAGTAAAGATTTACCAAAACAGGTAGTCAAAGAAAGGGCCAAAGAACCACAATGTCTTGTGTGATTAGAGTGTTATGTAATAACAGTTCCTCTCACTGCCAGCTCTTATGGGCTTGGCTCTGAGCTAAAAGGTACTTTTATTGATTGATTGATTGATTTGTTATTTATTTATGTATTTCTGGTTAGTCCTTCCAACGATGCTGAGGCATAATGATCCTCTTTTTAGAAAAAGTTCAGTTGACTGAGACTCAGAGCAGGTAAGTAAGTAACTTCCAAGTGGCAGAGCCAGGATTCAAACCAGGATTTGTCTGCCTTGAGAGGGCAGACACCCGCTCTTCTACATGGCTTAGTACCATATAGGAGGGAGAATACTATCTATGATTTCAGGGAAGGAAACAAAAGTCCATAACCTAGAAGCTCTAATTAAGATGAGACAAAGAGCACAAATAACACGATAGAAACTGACTGCAGAGACACTGAAATAGTGTAAAGCTCACTTATTCTTATTAAAGAAGAAAACAGGTTATGGTGTTTCTGATGCCTCTCGGTAATTCACTTCTAAAAGTAAAATAACTGGTGTCAGGTTAAGCATTCAGCATAAGTCAGTAAGACATATTTTCTACATCTCTGTTTGCCTCTAAAGGAAAGGTGAAGTCGTTCCAGTATGACCTCTAGGGAGACTAAACTTCTGTCAAAAAACTTGAAAAACACCAGGATTGTATTTATCATCAATCAGAGAGGAAAAAGTCTCAAAAGCAGTCCCATTTCCAGATTTAGTAAGTGAAACAGAAAGAACATACTTTTCACAACAGTTTACATAAGAAGACTCTAGCTGTAATGTGCCAGCAGTTTTATTGAAATTGTTTCCCATCAGGTCTCTGAATTTCTTTGGAAACTTATGACAATCACCAAACTGGATACTGTCATTGGGCCTGATAAAGCCAATCTTTTAATATTTATTTTGTAATTAAGGTGAAAACACACAAGCAGCAAGTAAAATTAATTACAGAATAAACTAAGTTCAGTTGTGCCATACAAACAAATAAAACCATTCTTTCCTTTTCTCTGGAAAGGGCGACCTGACCAGGCAGACAGACTGGTGAGCTCCCCACTATTCAAGGCCATTGGCCAGAGAGAACACAGAACTTACTATGCAAGGGGTCTGTCTTCCTCTCACCTGAGGTCCTATGATGGTACCTTTAGAGGGACAAAAGGAGAAATGGGAAAGTCCTTGCAAACCTAAATATTTTGTATCAAATAAATGTAGAATGAAGGATCTTGGATGCCTTTTATAAAAATCACAGGGGCTAGCCCAGTGGCACAGTGGTTAAGTTCGGCACATGCTACCTCAGAGGCCTGGGGTTCGCGGGTTCGGATCCCGGGCGCGGACCTACGCCACTCATCGAGCCATGCTGTGGTGGCAACCCACATATGAAAGAGAGGATGATGGGCAGGAGGAAGATGAGAAGAAGATGAGATGAAAGGAAGACGTTAGCTCAGGGCCAATCTTCGTCAAGCAAAAAGAGGAAGATTGGAGATGGATGTTAGCTCAGGGCCAATCTTCCTCACCAAAAAAACAGAGAAAGAATTACAGATAACTTGTAAGGCCTCTTCCCTCCCCCTGAGAACCACTCCTCTGTAGAAGCAGATTTAGGTTTATAACCACCTGATTCAAGAAATCCTGCCTTCCAGAGAAGGTTTGAAATTGTGAAAAGTCTGAGTCAGTAGTATTTACTCAATTGTCATTTGTGCCATTAGCATTTACTGAACACCAACTGTGCACAGAGTACTGTGGTAAACCCTGAGTGTATGAAGTAATGGAAGACAGAAAGACCCTGTCCCTGTGTGGGACTCACAACCACGCTCACCGGCATTCAAAAGTAGCTCAGCAAGGCAGATGCCAGACAGTGTGCACTACACATCAGATAACTTTATCTTACTCTCCCCTAATTCAGAAGCCCTATAAGCAATCTGAAGGCAAGAACAAATAAGCAGAGAAATAACAATATTACACAGAGATTTAGAAAGCACTGTCACAGACATTATCTCATTTTATCCTCACAACCCTGTGAAGTATGTATATCACTTATGCCTATTTACGGATGAGCTAGTAAGTGTCGTCCTTGGGACCTGGCCTTAGGTCATCTGACAAGAGTACCTATTCCCCTCCATTACATTTGTATTTGTTAAATATCTACAAAACAGTTATCTAACAGTCTAAGAATTCCCACATCTTTTTTTAGGCCCAAACACCAGTGCTTCCCATCTTTGAGGCAGAGCTTAAAGAAGTATCTAATACTAGGCACCAGAATCAATTTAATACCATTCATAAAAATAAAGACTGCTTTCTAGCATTACAAGGGGGATGCGGCAGTAGGAGACTGTGTTATAGCAGGTTTGAAAGCAAAACAGTAAAGAAGCATTGCAATCGCCCATATCAGTAAGACGTGAGTCTCTTAAAACCGCAGGAGGCAAGGCTTTCTCAGGATAGCAAAAAGAAATCCGATTTAATTAGGCACAATGTTTCATTTCTTTTTTACTGTCAACAGGTTTTATTGCCACACTCCAAAAAACTGTCCGTTCATTAAAGCACATTCTAACTTTCAAAAGCCTTCTTTTGCAAAAGAGCAAAGCAAAACCAAAGCTCAAATATCAGGTTGCGATAGCGGTGATTTAAGCTTTACATTTCATTCTTAGAGATTATGTAACCACAACACATTCAAAGCGGCCAAGCACGTTTTGATACAGGCTGGTCTAAACCACCTTGCTAAGCAGCTCCTATTACTATCTTGTTTACTCACATCGTGAGTATCCATATTTCACCTCTACCATTCCTTCCTAATCCAATCTTTTAATTATATTTTGCTAAGTAATCCTAAAACACGTTTATTTTTTCTAGATAGGGCATAATTATTAAAAAGCATAAGACTGTAGTATAGGCGTTCACTTGTGCAGGCCCTGGACATGGGGAAGGGCAGTAAAGAACAAGACAAACGCAGTTCCTCACGGAATTTGCTTACAAGCTAGTAGGAAAGATAGGAAACAAGCAACTGCAAAGGATATGACGTTTTCCTCTATGAAAATCCCGATGCGAAAGGAACACATAATAGGAAGACTTAACCTTGAAGTGTTGAATGAGAACAGAAACTAAGTAGGAGTTCTTCAAGCAGATGTGATGCAACCAGAGTGGGAATGCAGGAATGTTCCAGGCAGAGAACAGGTATTAAGATCAGCCTGGCTGTGTAGAAAGTGAAACAGGCTATAATGAAATATAAGGCAAGTGAGGAGACCAAGGAGCCAACCTGTGCTTGGCTATGTTACCATGCTAAGGGACTGGGATTTTCCTATGGGCAAAGAAACAGTTTTCTAGATTTTTATTTTGTAAAGATCCCTCAGCCTGTGCTGTAAAGAATGGAGTGAAGAAGGGCAGAGGGTCTGGAAGTATGGAGGCCAATGAGGAGGCTGCTGTAGCCAGGTAAGAGCCTAGGTTGACTTAAATCAGAGATGGAGCGCAGTGGACAGATCTAGCGGACATTTAGGAGGTCGAGGAGGCTTTGGTGGCTAACTGGGGAAGGACCGGGGACAGGTAGCTGAGAAGGTTGGTTCTTGGTTTTTTGGTTTGGGTTCCACTTACTGAGAATGGGAGAGAGGCAGCTGCTTGGGAAATAAGGCTTGAGAGAGAACAAGGGTGACAAGTGTGAGAAAGGCACTCGCATTCAACATGGCCTGAGTGAATTTCAAAGCAGCTCCTAGGTGGATTTGGCCATGGACACACAGTCACATGGCCGAGCTGGACGGACTCACGGAGACCTTCAGGTCTCAAAAGGAATTAGAGTTTAACGCCTGAAATTGCTTCTCCCGAAAACTGAGTTACATAGTCAACCAGGGAAAATCTAGGCCCGAGACAGAGAAGGCCGCAGAGAGCACACCCTCATCCAACAATGGGAGTGAAGTTCAGCCCCGAGGGCCAGCGCCACTGGGACGGCACCGGGCCCGCCTCCTGCCCTCGGGGCATCGTTTCTCCGCGCCGACCATCCGCTACTCCCGTCCCGGCCGCGCTCACTTCCCTGGCATCCCGCTGCCTGCCGCTCCCGGGCCCGACCTCCCACCACCCGGCCTCGGCGCCCCCCTCCCCCGCGCCCCGCTCCCGGGTCCGACCTCCCACTACCCGGCCTCGGCACCTCGGCGTGGCCTCTCGGTTTTCGGTGCGCCTCCCGTCCCGCGGGCTGGGCATCTCCAGTCGGGTCTCCCCTCCGCGGCCTCCTCATCCCGGGCCCGGGCTCCCGCCCCCCACCCGCCCCCCGGCCTCGAGGCCCCCAGCCTGGCCTCTCGATCTTCGGTCCGGTGTCCCGTCCCCCAGGCTCGGCATCTCCAGCCTGGCCTCCGCTGTCGGCCTCCACACCCCCAGCCCGGCCCCCCGACCCGCGGCCGGGCCTCCACACCCCGGGCCAGGTTTCTCGCTCCGCGGGCTCCAGCGCTCCTCCTCGCGCCCGTCGTCGTGGCCAAACAAAGGATCCGCCGCCCGGAGCGTGCCCCTCTCCTCCGTCTCCCCGGAGCAGCTGCAGGCCCCAAGGGACCCCGGGGCGCGCGCCGGGCTGGAGGCGATGCAGGGAGCGGGCCCAGGGCCGACGGCGCGGCGTCGGGAAGACTCGAGGGCGGCACTCACCGCACAGCCTCCACGCACCAGCCAAGCGTCCACTCCGCTCTGCGCCCCGCCAGGTCGGCTTCTGCGGCCCACCGCCCCCAGCCCGCCGAGCGGAGCTCGG